GGGAAAACAAAGGAGGAGGTAACAATGCTCAATAGGAAGTATATTCATTACTTACTTATGTAACTGTAACCCTTCTGTACAGTATCTTTACAATAAAAACATATATTAAAAATGGTACCCTAATCATTTATTGATTATTCAAATGGGTAAATGAAGATGATAGTAAGTGAACAAAAGGATGAATGAATGAATGAACAGGGGGTTCTTACTCAATTATCATGTATGACTCACCAAAAGATATTAATAGAAATCAAATACCAAACAGTGAGTCTTTAATAGTTAATTTCTAGGGGTCATGATTAGCTGAAAGAGAGATAAGACTGTCAGAGACTCCTGAAACAATTTTGACCTGGCATCCTACCTGCTTTGAGTTGGTTTTGCATGGACTAGTTTTGATGGAGAAAGGAAATGGGATTTTTTTCTTTAAAGAATATTGCAAAACCATAGTCTGGGGAGGTGACTCAGTGGTCGAGTGCTTGCCTTGAATGCATGAGGCCCTGGGTTCGATTCCTTAGCACCATATAAGCAGAAAAAGATGGAAGTGGCACTGTGGCTCAAGTGGAAGAGCAGTAACCTTGAGCTAAAGAGCTGAGGGACAGTGCCCAGGCCCAGAGTTCAGATCCCATGACCAACTTAAAAAAATTCATTAAGACACACTCTATTCATAAACTGCTTTGTTAAATGGTCACTCTTTTGTATAACTACTTAGACATAATAAAAACATTCAAAACAATAAACGACAATATATGTGAAGAAACAAGCTTATTCAGAGAGAGAGAGAGAGAAAGCTCTTAGGGAAAATGGTGACCCAAAAAGGCATGAATTGGCCAAGACCTAATAAATGTATTTTGGAATTACAGAGTGAATGAATAGCATCCTGGTTACCTTATTGGAATAGATTTTGGAGGAAGCATCACAGGCATAAATATCCTAGAATTCTTTTATTTTGTGGCATTGCTAGGCAAGCATTTTACCTATAAGCAATACCCTTACTTCACAGAGAAGACATTTTCAAGCCCCATGTGCCTTCCTTCTACACGAAAGAAATAACAGGATATGCATGAAGTCTTCAAGTATTTAGGCTTCAAGATGGACAGGTGTCCATTACAGAGTTCACAGAAGAACCTTCAACTTTCAGGATGTTGTATTGGGCCCCACAAAAAAAGTAGAGATAAATTGATTAAGTTCTTTACAAACTAGATGTAAGCAAAGCAACTTATAATCCCCTAAGCAATTCTAACACGGTTAAGTTTTCATCACATCTTTTTCATTATATCATAGTTCTATTGTAGTCCACAGTTCTTTTTTGTGTGTGTGTGTGTCCGGTCGTGGGGCCTGAACTCTGGGCCTGGGCACTGTCCCTCAGCTCTTCAGCTCAAGGCTAGCACTCTACCACTTGAGCCACAGCGCCACTTCCAGCTTTTTTCTTTTTGCTTATGTGGTGCTGAGGAATCGAATGCAGGGCCTCAGGCATGCAAGGCAAGTGCTCTACCACTGAGCCACCTTCCCAGCCCTAGTCCACAGTTCTTGATCTATGGTTAGAACTTGATGCATGTTGGTTGAATTAATGTATGGATCAATCAACCCCCAGCTTTTCTTGAAATCTGACCCTTCACAAGGTTTAACGTGACCATCAGATACTTGCAGTCATTCTGCCTATTATTTGAGAGTAAAAATGGGAAAGTACATTTGTCTGCTGTTAGAGCTGTACTTGTAAAAACTTCCATTAGAGCATACAGGATTCTGAACTCTGGTGTGGGAGCTGCAGGCTAGCTAACATCAGGCTAATATTTTAGGAAAGCAACCTTGTAATTATGTTAGCAGAGATTTCTAAGTAGAAAAAAAGCTACAGCTCTGCCAAAGTATCTTAAAAAGAGACATATTGTTGATTTGTTCCACACCGACGAACTAATATAAACAAGGAAATCTCTGCTTTTTGTCACGTGTCAGCTATTCTTTCTCCTTTAAGAATAGCAACTTCTTTGGAAAACACATCTGATTTCTGAGTTCAAACCTGTCCATCAAATAAACAGATGGGTTTCAAAGATATTAGAAGGTGGGACTGTGAATTGAGTTACAGATATTTTTTCCCAAGTAGAATTTCCTTCTTGGTAATTTGAAGTACTTCTTGAATATTGAAACTGTACTCCCTGAGCTTATAATATGATATAGAGTCTGCACGTTTTAAATTAGGGGTGATTACTAAGAACACAAAATTCATTTCCCTCATTTAAATCTTAAGTCCCCATTTTAGGTTGATTTATCTATAATAATGGTAAACTGTTGGAACCCAAGAAAAAAGTGTTGCCAAAACACTTATGTCAAAATATACTCATGAGTTTCACTTTATGCAGAGATGTAATGTGATTCTGTGTTGCTCACCCTCTAACATTTTCTCCCCTCCTGATCACAGTTGGTCCCATAATTACAAACCTGTTACATAAACCCATACTATGTGTGTTTATGTATATTTATCTTTTAGGTGTATGATGTGTGAAATACCACAATAAAACCCCTTTAAACAGTTAGCATGCACTAAAGTAAAATGAAGGACAGGAATATATAATAGATACTGTCTGGGATTAGGGTACTAATGAGTTGGGGGGACAAAGTTGAGAAGGTGACAGAGGGTAATATGGTCAGTATACTTCATGTACATGTGTGAACAACAAATTTTGTTGAGACTGATTTGGGAAGGTAGAAAGCAGGAAGTGAGAGAGTGACAGGGGGTGAGGCTGATCCAGGTACAAATCCATGTGTACAACTGACTAGTGATAACAAACTATGTTAAAAAAACCCTAAGTTCCATCTTTGAGAAAATGACTTAATTCTGGTCAATTCTGCCTGCTGGGGAGCTATCTGCACAAAAGTAGAGATTCAGGTAGGTTTCCTGTAGAACCCAAAGAGTTCAACATTAAGTGACAATGTCTCTCATGAGGTGGTCCAGATGTGCCTTCTCTAGGCCTCATACATATGTAATGAATTGGTACAAACTTTCCGAAGGATCAGACACAGCATTCCTTTTCTAAGATTCTTGCTACCAGAAATTTAGGATTCTTTTTATTTGAACATTTCTGATTATATATAAAATGAGGTGTCTTGAAGTAGTATTTATATCTAAATACATAATTCATTTATGTTCCATTTGTACCTTAAATGTATAGCTGAAGAAAATTGTATATAATATATTTACTGTGTCTGTATTTTGACTCAACATATCATAAGGTTTGGTATGACATTTTTCCACTTGAGGTATCATGTAGTTTATATTATTTGAGATTTTAGGTGTTCAAAAGAGTCACTTTCAACTTGTAAAGCAAATATATCAAGAGTACTAAAGAGATCATATATTGACTCAACATTTCCACTTTCAGAAATATATTGTGAGCAAATGGATGAATTACTGCACAAATATGGAAACAGGTTTTTATTAGAGCAGAATTTGTGTCAAAATTTTTGGAAGCAATAAAAATATTCATCTATAGATATATAGTGCATAAATGCATGATAGTGTTCATATAGGGCTGAAAAGACAAAAGATTTTTTTTTCTGTTAGTCTTAATAACCGGCCTGGCCCAAATTTTAAAAAAATAGCCAAATGCTCCTAGACAATAAATTGAAGATAAATGAAATTCATTCTACATCTTGGCTCTGAGCTTTCTGATGTCCTCTACAGCTAGAATTCTAGCAAAAGCTCCATCAAGGTGGGCCATGCTCTCATTTATACCTTGAGATTCAGTAGTGAAATAAGAAAATAAGTGGGAATGAATCAGGTTAGCCTGAGTTGCTCACTGGACTGTCATTGATGCTGGGGAGCATCCTGTGCCATGAGCTGTCTCAGTTGGGCAGAATGTAGATTAGAATGTACAGTTACTGTTAGTATGTCCTCCTCCATTTTGATTTCACAACCCACATCTTAGGTTCTTAGCCCTTTCCTCCAAATCAGGTGGCCAGACCAGGCCTGGCCACAATTGTTAACTCCCACCCCTGTGACCAACAGCCTCCAGCTGCAACAAGGAATGCCATTTGGCCTCATCTGGCCAGATATAACTGCAGCTGCTGCAATCAGTACCCTGCTTGACTACATTCTATCTTTGGCTCCAGCTGCAACTGCAGAGTACTTCCCACCCCTAGAAAGGTACCCCATTTGCACAAAGACAAGCATTGTGCCCAGCCTGGAAGACACAGCCTTGTCAGCTTGCTGACAATGAACTATACTGTATGTGACTTGGTGTCCCTGTGGTCCTCTGGGCTGGAGCTTTCATTGGTGCTGTGACTTGGATCAAGGCTCCCCTGGTGATTTTGCTCTTCCCTCTGGGAATTCGAGCAGCTCCAGGGACCTTGTGCTGGTCTCAGGTCCCCCCAGAGGATCGTGAAGGTGATTTCCCTTGACAGAATGCTTTACTTGCATCCACTAGTAGCTGATCTGCCCTTCTTCCTGAGTAAGTGACCTTTTGCCTTTGTAGGGTGCTCTGAGTTCCCTCTTTTTGAGGCCACTGGGATGGAAAATTCTTGGTGCCAAGTTCCAAGCCCTCCTCCCTCCCCCAGCCTAGGCCACTGGGCTAGATAGGCCAAGGGAATCCAGCAATTGTGTAGTGATGACCCCTCTTGCTGCTTGCTCCCTCCATGTTAACTGACCAGAGATCCTCTGGGGTGGCCCATGGCTCTCTATTGTCAACTCTGTGCACTCACCATGGGTGGGGCCCAGTCTCAAATTCCTCAGGATTCCCCTCTAGGTTGTCTTTTGCACAATCTGGAGGCCCTCAAGCTTCCACCTGATCTCTAGCCCCATAAGCTGATATGCTTATATAATCAAGTTTGGCCCCGATATTCACTAGACAATGAGTCCACATGACCTCTCAGTGGCACTTTTGATCCCAGTATTTTACAGGACTTAACATAATTTCTGTGAGTGCTCAGGCAAGTGGAAGGAAATCCCCTATGTACAACTTTTTTGTTGTTGTTCAGTTTTAAGCCAGCACTTTGTTCCTCATGCTCACCTGCCACAAAATTGCCAGATTCTTTCTCCTTTGACTCTGTAGACTGGCTCTTGCGCTCTCTAAATCCAGGGCTCTCCTCCATAAGCTCCTCTCCTTCCCCTCCAGGCTCCCCTTTCTCCTCTTCAGACCGGAAATACGCTTGACCCGAGTGTGGCAAGCCAGCCACTAGACGGCTTGGTAGTGCCCTGGAGGTTGTCATGCAGCACTTTTCGGAGATGCTGGGCACTGCCACTGCCCAGGCCCAGGCTCGGGAGCCCGCTCCTTTCCCCTTCCCACCCCAGCTTGGGATTCTGCCCTGGCCCCCTGCTTCCCTTACACTGCAGCTGTCCTTGGCCCTAAGCCCCTCTGGGACTACAACTCCCAGGGCAGCAGCCAGAATCAGGACCACTTTATAGCTTGCATATTTGAGGGTCTCAAGCAGGCAGCCCACAAAGCCATCAACGATGACAAAATGACCAAGGTGATGCAAAACCAAAGTGAAAATCCATCTGCCTTTTGAGCTAGACTAAAGCAGGCTCTTCTTCAGTTCATGAACCTGGACCCTGAGTCTGTGGATGGCCAACGCCTTTTAATGACTTATTTTATCAACCATACAGCCTGGATATTTGGGCCACATTAAAACAATTAGACATGGGACTCCTGATGCCTCCAACTCAAGACTTGGAGATTACCTTTAAGTTATACCATGGCAGGGAGGAAAAGGCCAAAAGACTCAAGTATCAGATGCTGGCAAAGATCCACTAGCCTCAGGTCTCACAATTGGCTCCTTCCTGATGGGGACTACCTGGGTTCTGTTATGATGTGATCTGGAGGGGCATTGGAAGGGATCCTGTCCCCCAAAAGAAGAGGGAGAGGTCTCCAAGTCATGCTACTGGTGTAACCAGCATGTCCATAGAGGTACAGTCTGCCCACAGCTGCAAAAGCCAACTGGACCATGCCCCAGATGCCATGAGGGGGGGCACTGGGCCATGGACTGTCCATCATCCTCTCAAGGATGTTAGCCATCACCAAGGCCTCATCACCCTCCTTTGATCTTCTGGGACTGGCTGTTAAAATCTGAGGAAGCCCTGGACTCCCGATCCTGACTACTCTCATCACACAGGCGCCCAGGGTAACAATCATAGCTGCAGGTAGGGCTATTTCATTACTGGGGGATATAAGTGCCATATATTCTGTGCTTATTGAGTTTTGAGCCCTAACCTACCTAGCTAAAACCTCCATTGTCAGGGTGGAGGGTAAATTTTACAGGCTCAGATAAACTCCCTACTCCCGTAATTTTTCTCTGGTGACCTTTTGTCACTCCTTTCTTGTCATTCCCTGCTGTCCAGTCCCACTGCTGGGCAGAGACTTTGGTGCCTCTATTACTTCATGCCCCTCCCAACTGTCAGAATCCAAAAATGATTTGACCTCCCCTGCAGTTTTCTCTGTGATAGCTTTAGTGGACCTGCCTGGTGACTCCTCAGGTTTTCCTTTATCACCCTTCAGAGTTAACCCCTTGCTTTGGGAACCCACAACCCTTCAATTGCCAAACATCATATTCCAGTTCATATTTCCCTGTGACCCTCAGCATTTTCCCTCACATCCTGAATACCCCCTCCCTTTCTGCAGCCTTTTGGGATTACAGCCAATTGTTAAAGATTGCTAAGAAAAGGGCTTTTGTGCCCTGCTAATTCTCCTTACAACAGTGACATCTTGATGGTAACCAAGCCCAATTGCTCATTTTGTTTAGTGCAAGAGTTATACCTTATAAATGCAGCGGTTACCTCTCTTTCCTATTTAGCTAATACACTCTTCTTTCCACAATTCTGCACCAATTACTTTTTATTCTGTGTTGGATTTAAATGATGTCTTTTTTTTTCTATTCCTTTGTCGCTTTCCTCTCAGGATCTTTTTGCCTTCACATGGACTGACCCCATTACCCAAATGTCAATGCAGTTCACTTGGACTGTGTTTCACGAGCAGCTTCCACTTGTTTGGCTTTGGCATGGGACTTACAGGATTTAAATTTACAACCCTTATTCAGTATGTGAATGACATTCTCCTCTGCAGTCCTGCCAAGCAATATGGTGGCAGTCCCACCACCCATATGGTAGCACGTCTTAATTTTCTTGTTTCTTGAGGGTATTGGGCCTCACCCAATAAGATGCAGGCTATCCAACAGTTGGTGATTTATCTGGGTATTAAACTTATACCCACTCGCAAGGCCTTTACCACCCCCCCCAGAAAGCATTTAATTGCTAATTACCCTGTTCCAGCCTCTAAACCTGAGCTTCTTCCCTTTTAGGATCTGGCTGGTTATCTTAGCTCCTGGATCCCCAACTGCTTCCCCCTAGCCTGCCCCCTATAGGAGGTGGCTAAGGGGCCACCAGAGGGACCCCTTTTATCCCCTTACTCCCTTGTTTCTCTCTTTATGAGACTTCTACAGGGCTATTAAAGGTTCCTGCTCTTAGACTGCCAAATCTTTCAGGCCCATTTTCTTGTAACTGAAAACAAAGATTCTGCATTGAAGTCTTGGGTCCACAGGTTGGACCCTCATTTATGTCAGTTGCTTATTTGTCAAAATGCCTAGACCCCACCATTAGAGGATGGGCTCCCTGCTTTCATGCCCTGCCGGCTTCTTCTGTTTTAATACGGGAGTGAAAGAAGCTGACCTTTGGCACAGCCCTCACCATTCTTTCTCAGCAACACCTTTCTGAGCTACTGACATACAAGGGGCTACATAAGATGCCCTTTTACTTTGTCTCCCTTCAGGTGGCACTGGTAGAAGGGCCTACCTTCACTTTCCAGCCCCTCCCTCCAGTAAACCCATCTACCTATTACCTATACAGATATAGGAACCATGCCTACACACTAATGTATGGAGACTCTGGAGGAAGATTTGCTGCCTCACCCGGCTCACCTTAGTGAAGGACCACTGAAGGATTTTCATTTCTCCTGGTTCACTGATGGGAGTTCTTTCCTCTGAGAAGGTTCACAGGTAACTGGATGCTATGATATTGATCTCTGGTGTTGTTGAATCTGGCCCGCTGCCTCTTCAAATCACCAATCAACAGGCTGAGCTAGTGTTCCTAACATGGGCATTTCACTGAACTACAGGCCATTCCCTGATGGTATACACACACTCTAAGTATGCCTTTCATACTATCCTTTCCCATGCAGCCATCTGGAAAGAACGAGGCCTTTTAACAACTAAGGGTACCTCAGTTATAAATGGCTCCTATATTACCAAGCTTCTGGAAGCCTCTTTTCTCTCCTCAGCCATTGGCGAAGTTCACCGTAAGGCCTATGCTTCAGATGTCTCAGTTATAACCAAGGGAACTAACCTGGCCAATGAGATTACCAAACAGGTTGCAATGTCCTCCAGGGTAACAGACAGCCTACCCCTTCCCTCCAGGCAGGATATTCTTAAGTACCTACACCGCCTTTTCCATGCCCATGCAGGTGCTTTCAGAGTATTTCCCCTTGACCCCAGCCAATGCACAATTTCTTATGCAATGCCAGTGTGCAGTCACCGCTCTTCCAACTCATCGGGCTCAGAGTAATCTCCCAGACTTGGCCTGTCAAATGAATTTCACCCTCATGCCAATGGTCCATAAATCTTTTTTTTTTTTTTGCCAGTCCTGGGGCTTGAACTCAGGGCCTGGGCTCTGTCCATGAGCTTCTTTTGCTCAAGGGTAGCACTCTACCACTTGAGCCACAGCATCACTTCCGGCTTTTTCTGTTTATGTGGCACTGAGGAATAGAACTCAGGGCTTCATGCATGCTAGGCAAGCACTCTTCCACTAAGCCACATTCCCAGCCCGGTCCTTAAATCTTATCTGCCAGAGTCACTGGTCTTACTAAGTATTCTGCTAAGTGAGAAGGACCTTATCTAGTAACCCTATACCTATGACTGTGCAGGTTCAGGGTCGTCCTCACTGGATTCTGCCATGTTAAGCGTCACCTGCCCAACCAACTCTCTAATACCTTTGAGCCACCGGACTTCTGTCTTTGCAGATAAAGTAAACTGGACGCAGCCTTCCCCGAGTTGTTGAGGAACCAGAGAACCCTGCTTGGGATAAGGAATGCTTGATGACAGCCCCTTTTGGGGACCAATCACCACCAAGCTTATGCCTTTCTGAGGCTCACTAGTAGCGATTTTTTTGCCTTTTATTAATTGTGTCTTGCCTGTTTATGTATTTAATGTTCTCACAGAGTGGATGAGGACCTTTACTAATCAGACCACCAACCAACTGCTTCTGGTTGAATGGCAAATGAGAGACCCATATTCTTGGCCCAAATACCCATCCTTATTAAACAACAAAGTGGGTAATGTTAGTACATCCTCCTCCATTTTGACTTAACAACTTCCATTTTAGGTCCTCAGCCCGTTCCCCTAAATCAGGTGGCCAGACCAGGCCCAGACACAATTGTTAACTCCTACCTCCAAACCCAATAGCCTCCAGCTGCACCAGGGAATGCCTTCTTCCCAGACCTAACTGCAACCGTTGCAATCAGTAAACATTGCCCTGGCTACATGCTATCTTTGGCCACAGCTGCAACTGCAGAGTAGTCCCGACCCTTAGTAGAAAGATACCCCTTTGCACAAGACAAGTATTGCACCCAGCCTGAAAGGCATAACCTTGTCAGCTTGCTGACAATAAACTTTGCTGTACGTAACTTTGTGTCCACATGGTCCTTTGGGCTGGACTTTCAGTTGCAGTCAGATGTCGAAGAAAGAAGTCAAACTACAGAGGTCTGTTGATTGGCGGAAGATGACAGGGATCAAGGTAAGCCGTGACTCAGATGAAGGGAAGAAATGACCAGGGGAATGATAGGGGGGAAAGGACTCACTGTATTATTGTTTGAGAATGGGGTTTATGGGGTAGACAGGGTATGGAAAATTAGGCTTTGAAGTTAGGAGATGATACCTTTCCAGAATAGGTAAAGCAAGAAGAGAAAAAAAATACTCAGACTCAACTCAGAAAACTCATTAGCTAGAGACTTGCTTTTGATCATAGGATACTAGGGTTTGAACTTAGTCTCATTTCAGAGAACAGATGCTTAATAATGAAGTTCTATCACATTGTTGGCAAGTCTCTGAGAATGTTCTATCTGTGTGGAGCAGTCTCTATGAATGAGGGATTTCTAATCAGCTTCTAGGAGACAAAGCAAAATTGTTGAGTTGGTGGAGGATGGCATCTAATGTAGTACCATGGATGGTAATAGCCAAAGAGATTGAAGAGAGTGAATTCAACTGTAGGAAAGACTTACAGTTTGGGAAAGTGAATAGGATTTGGGGAGCTAGAAATGCCTGGGAGGGCACTGGAGATGGGAGGAAGCCATGTGTGTGTCCTGGAAACAGATTGAGTGGAGTGCCCTCTAATGGCAGGCCAGGGCTCTTCCAGGGCTTCAGTCTTGGAATGCAAGCAGGGAGAGCAAGGAGATCCTATTGCTTTCTCACCCTGGAGGGGAAAAAAAATCATTCCCAGAGAACATCTTTTATTCATGCAGTACTATTACTACAACGTTCAAAGAAACCTACAGGGCCTTATCAATTTTAAAAAGGCAAATCTTTTTTGCAAAAATTTCAAAGGCTGGTAGGATTATTACAAATTCTAAATATTTGTTTTAGTTTAAAAAGTAAAAGAGGATTACTAACTTCAATATGCTTGGTAGTTTTTCCTCTCCTAGATCTCTAAGAAATTATTTAAGGACCAAAGTAATTACTGTATCTGGGATTATTTAAAAAAACCTTCAAATGTAATCTCTCCATTATTTTAAGTATAACTTAACAATTGTACAAAAGTAAAATAAACTGTGTCCCAACAATGCCAATGAGTTTATTCCATTAATTTACTGAGGAGAAAACAGGTCATATAGCTACTTACACACACACACACACTCACTCTCTCTCTCTACACACACACACACACACTCTCTCTCTCTCTCTCTCTCAGACACAAAAACACATGTATGCATATGCACACAATTTATGGAACAAAGAAAAAGTAATTCTCAAATACTAGAATTTCTATTAGTTCTTCATGCACTATCAACTTGCTTAGCTATAAAATTCATATGAGAAAGATATCCTAATCCTTACTTTGCAGATGAGAAAAGTGAGGTGTTTGAAATTTGTCTTTCCCAACTCAGCATGTTCTGATGACAGCTCAGATGTGAATTTT